CTTAAGAAATGATGGTGACTGTTCATATTAGTTCCTTTTAAAAAATGCCCTTACTTTGCAAAATAAGGGAATTGTCAGGCTTTCCTTTTTTTTTTTTTTTTTTTTTAATGACCTTGATACTTCTAAGAGTACTGGTTAGGTTATTTTATAGAATGTTCCTCAGTTTGGGTTTTCCCAATGAATTTCTCATTATAAGGTTTTTGGGAAGATTACAACAGAAGTGAAGTACACTTCTCATCACAGCGTATCAGGAGGCATATGCTATCAACATGACTTATCACCAGTGCGTTAACCTTGGTACTTGGTTAAGGTTACTGTTTGTCAGCTTTTTGCACTGTAATGTTTTTCCCTTTCATAGTTTACTCTTTGGAAGCCAGCCACTAAGCCCAATCACAATCAAGAGGGATGGAGGGGGCCGAGTAAGCTTTACTTCTTGGAGGGGACAACATCTACATACGTTGTTTGGAATTTTTCTGTATGGGAGATGTCTCTTATTTATTCATACAAATGTGTTTGTATTAGTGTAGACTTGTATATATTTTATGCATTGGGTTATAATCCAATACTCATTTATTTTGTTGCTCAGATTGTTCAACTTTGGCCCCTGGGAGCGCTTTCAGGTTGGCTCCTGTTTATCTGTGTGACACACGTCCAACCTTCTGTGTTTTGAGCACTGGGTTGATTTCTGGCACTACAGGATGCTGCAGTCTCATCTCGTATATTCTTTGCCCAGCGAATCAGCCCCCCTCTTCAAGAAGCCCTAGTTCTTTCTTATTGGAAAACAGTATTTAGAAAGCAAGATTTGGGTACCAGGTATACTCATGACTATTGGGGTGTCAGCCAGTCCTTGTTTTGTTAAAATATTTATAAAGTCTAAATTTGAAAAATTATGACAAAGAGGTAGCAGGCCAGAAATAAAACATACCCTGACTTAGGAAATTGCAAAGTGAAAGATTTCTATGGCTGTATTAAGCCCAGCTTTTGGAAACAGATGCATTCCAATAAAAGTGCATATTGGGTCACTGTATTTTATGAGTAATATACACTTTTAAAAGTATTTAAAATATACATTTCAGTATGTAATGAAAATAAGACAGTTTCTGTTATTAAACTTTCTTTTTTTTAAAACTTACCTTAGTGTTATTAATATCCTTATCACTTTGAGTGGAAACAAGTTGTTTCTTTTTTTTGGGTAGGACCTTTAGTCTTTGTTCATATAGATTATAGGCGGAAATTGGGAGCTCTGTTGTTAGGTTTCTGTTAGGGAAATTGACATCAGTTTTAATCCAATTCACTTATTAAAGGTTCTTCTTTTAATAGTGAGATTTTTCATATTTGGGGGTCTAGTCTATTTTAGACATCTTCTGCTTTGGATGTTTTAAGCCACAGGGATAAAGAATAATTTTAGCAACCCAAATATCTTTTATTTGGTACGTTTTCTCTTTGGTCATCAGATTGGAGCAAGTTTGAATAGTTGAATTAAACTTTAAATTGGGAGTTAAAAGTTCATTTTGAAAATACTTAACATTTTTTTTTCAAGTGGATAATGGTATAATTACTTTAAGGAACCAGATAGTTCATGGCTTTAATTCTTTTTTTTTTTTTCTTCCTTTGCAGAGAATGAAGCTGGTCACTACATTTCCCCCTTTCATGATATTCCTTTGAGGGTGGATTCTATAGAGGTATTGTTTTAACTTGTTTGCGGGATAAAAACACGTATTTCTAGTATCACCATGAAATGCTTTTTAGAAGCATCTTGAAAGAATTAGGTCAGAAGTCAAGAAGGATAATGGAGTTATAACAGGATTGTAAGACTCCTTCATGAATTAGAATTTGTATGAGAATAGTATTCTTTCAGGAGGACTTGGGGAGAAAGGGGTGGTAGTGGCCCATACAGCTTGGAATTTGGTAGGAAATCAAGAGTTAAGGTTAAGAAGTTAACAGGCTTACTTTTTAATAATAATAATAACAATATAGTTAACATTTGTGGATTATTTTCTGTTTGTTAGCCACCATGTGAACATTCGTCATTTGATTTAATCCTTATGAGTTGCTATTATGGTCTCCAAGGGCATCAAAGCTGGAAGCATTGTATTGACTTGTCTAAGATCACACAGCTGCTAAGTGCCAGAGCCAAGTTTTGAAATAGCATTTCTGATCACAAACTTTTAACACTCTGTAAAGCAGATGCTAGAAAAACAAAGTTGGGAAATGGTAGTCTTTGAATAGCTATTCGCTTAGAAACGAAAATTCCTGGGCAGCTATGAGGGTGGGAAGGATGTAAGCCCCGTAGGCGTGGACGATCTGTGCTGAAGGTGGAGCTGCAAGTAGTTCAGGCTCATTGGCTTGTTCACGGAGCTGGGAAGATGGTGCGATTGGTAGCAGATGGTAGTTACCATCGCTACGCCAGAGAGTCTTTCCTTAAAGTTAATTGGTTAATTGGTTTATTCCATTACCAAATTTATTTATTTATTTTATTTTATTTTATTTTTTTAAGCTGAGCCATCCTGCCACCTGTTGGCAGCTCAGCTCAGGCCGGGCATCAAACCGCTGTTGCTCAGAGCTCAAACTCTTGAGCAAGTTCTTAACCAACTGAGCCACTCGGCCGGCCCACCATTACCAAATTTATTAAGGGGCCTCTGGTTATTGAATAACCAGGACTATATTCCAGGTCCAGATTATATGTGGCTGGTTAATGGGGTTGGGTTTTCCAGGTCAGTGTAGGGGCAGAGGCCAGTGAAGAGGTGGGAAGCTGCCTCAGATGCAAGAGGGTTTGACCTTGATGTTGCCTTAGAGGCTGAAGATAAGGCATCAAACTAAGGTTATGGAATCCTGAAGCGGGATTTGTGCTGCCTCCCAGCCCTGCGGAGGACCGGACTGTCAGTAATGGTGGTGATAGGGAGAGTAATAGTGAAGATTTAGTGAGTGCTCATGGTGCTTAGCATAGCACTGTGCTCAGTGCTTGCCTTGCATTATCTAAGCAGGTCTGGGGCTACTATTACCCTTATTTTGTTAATGAGGTTAAGTGCTTTGCCCATGGCCACAAGTCTGGTCTGTTGTGGAGGTGGGATTTGAACTTAGGTGCTCTTAACTCTGTAGCTTGTCATCTTAACTGCTGTTATTAATCCTTTAGGCTCATTACTTCTAAGAAGTGTTCAGCTGCAGGACAAAGGATCATATATCTGGAGAGACAAAGAAACTAAAGAGAGGGCAGAAAGAACTTCATTTTACTGTGTGTTTCTTTGAGAAAGAGAGTCCGTATGTCCATCTGTTTTGTTTTCGCCAGTGAACTATCCAAATTAAATATTAATATCCTGTGTCTTCCAGCACCAATCCTTGCTTTTGGCCAAAAGTGCATGCATTATTCTTTTGTTCATTAATTTATTCATGCAGTAAATAATCATTGCATGCTTATTGTAAGCCAGACAGTATTCCAGGTACTAGGGTTGCAGGAGTAAGATAGATATACTTCCCACTCAATTAGAGGAGACAGACAACCAGAAAACAAACGAGTCAATCACATATTGTTAAGTGCTATACAACTAGCACAGGGTCATGAAAGAAGGGGTGCTGTTTTATGTGGGGGTGTGACATGACAAAATCTGTGTACCTAATAACTAATAATATTATTGGGATGAGGTAGGTAGGGGTGGAGGTGTGGAACAAAGAGTGGGCTAGAAATATCCGGTGGGCATGATATTCTGCTTAAGGAGGATGGGCTTTGGGGAATATGAGATTTAGGGTTAGATAAAATTGAGGATAGGGCAGGGCGAAATATAACACGATAGGCTAATGAATTTTGGGTATGTGGAGAGATTGATACACACAGTGGTTGTGTAAATAGGTTTTCCTTGCTCTCAACTGTAATGACTAGTTAGAACTATTGCACCTTGTACTTTGGGATGTGGTGTTTTAGGAATAGTAATATTTCAGAGCCAACTTGGAATAATCATTTTTCTGTTTGTTTTATGTCCCTCATTAGTCATTTTGGTGTGTAAAATCATGTATAATGTGTGACCATTGGTGAATGGCATCATTTTTCCTCCCAACCCACCACATACTGTGTTTTAATTTAACAGCGCCTGGTGGAATCACAGTGATCACACCTGGGCGGGACTCATAGGCGGGAGGTGCAGCCGAGTTCTTTCACAGCTTGTTAGTCACGCTCCCTGGAGTTTCATTGCGATAATGAAATGACTGTTTTAAGCACAATCACTGGAAACTGCCAGTCTCTCCTTAAAGACTGAACAGAGCCTTTGCTTATTTTATAAAAACTAAGAAAATATACTTGAAAGAGGTTTAGCTTTTCTGATCATTTAGTTTATGAAACATTTTGGTGCACGTGCACTGAGGATGCAAACACTGAGAGAGAGAAAAGTGAACTGGACCTTTGGTAGGTTCTCTGTTGCATCAGGTCTCTGGTCAGCTCTGTTGGAGGATGTTTATGCAATAGGCATTCTTTCATTGCTTTGCGGTACAGCTGTATTTTCATGGAATACTACAATCATAAATACCATCTTTTCTTTTATAGGAAAATGGCATTCCTACAAAGAGAGCACGAAATGATGAATATGAGGTATATCTAAAGGTTTTTATTTCTGTGACTCTCTTATGTTGTCTGTTGAAGGCCTTGGTGATAGTTTATAAAGTGCTTCTAAATTTTTTCCCCCGCAAGACTTCTGTGTGCATTCTGAGGTTTTTTTCCTTCCTTCTAAAATTGCTTTAAGGCAGCTAGGGATGTTATTACCATTTCACTATCTTTTTTGTGATTATATATATATATATATATATATATATATATATATATATATATATAAAATAGAATTTACCATTTTATTGTACACTTTTTAAATTGTACAGTTCAGTGGCATTAAGTACATTCACATGTTGTGCAGCCATCACCATCATCCATCTCCAGGACTTTTTCATCTTCCCACACTGGAACTCTGTACACATAAACAATAACTCCTTACCTGCCTCTGCCCAGCCCCTGCTAACCACTATTCTACTTTCTGTTTATGAATCCGACTATTCTAGGTACCGCCTTAGTACCTCCTTACCATTTCATGTTATAAGAGAAAAAACAGAGAGAATCAGGAAATGAACCCAGATTTTAGTAGAAAGTTATCGTGGTAGATGGTCTAAAGTAAAGGTACTTAATGAAAATTGGTCAGTTTATCATCTTTTTTATTACAAGGGGAAAAAAGATGGTTTGAGAGCTCTTTTAGAATCCAGGAACAAGTCTTTTGAAGGTAGACAGGGAGAAAAAAATAGTTATACCAACTGTATGCTAAAAATATATTCTAAATATGCCTTCCAAATATGTAACTCTCAAATCTTTAATAGTTCTTGACTTAAGACCAAAACATTTGATTGATGTCTGTCATCCCACCCCTTGCTGTCAATCGATGCCATTTTATCTTGCTGATGCCAGGCAGCTTTTCCACCTTCTTTTCTCTTTCCAGCCTCATTTCCATCTATTCTCTGTTCCAATGGAAACTTATGACCCCAGCTTTTGCATTCACCTCCAAACATAGTCGTGGAGTCTCTTTAATTCCTACAACCTTTGCCTGCCATCTATATTGTATTTTCTTAAACTAGTGTTTGTCAAATGGTCCTACCATATACAATGGAACCACTTAGAGGACTTGTTAAAATTTTGGATTCCTGGCCCCATCCCACATCTACTAAATCAGAATTTCTGCTTGGTGGAGACTGGTTAGTCTGCGTGTTTGAACTAGTGTTACAGGACATCCTGTACACATTGAAGTTTGAGGACCACTGACCTAGATGTTGGATGAATAGTCATTCAGGGGCTCAAGGCTTCATGTGTAACTCAGTCCATACAGCCAACTTAAAATTTAATTGTTAGAACATATTTTATATGTCAGAGACTGCCTGATTTGAGTTTATTTGATTAAAAAAAAAAAGTATTTTTGCCCCATCTGCTACCTCTTGGTTACCACTTTTCTACTCTCTGTTTTTATGAGTTTGGCTTTTTTTTTTTTTTTTAAGTTTCCACATGTAAGTATTACCTTTCTCTGTGAGCCTAATGCCCTAAAAGCCCATCCAGCTTGTCGCAGATGGCAGGATTTCCTTCTTCTGGTTGAATAATATTCCAGTGTGTATATCTACCATGTCTTTTTTATCCATTCATCCATTGGCTGACATAGGTTGTTTCCTGGCTATTATGAATAATGCTGCCATAAGCGTGGGAATGCAAATAGCTCTTCAGTATTCTGTTTGTATTTCCTTTGAACATATAGCCAGAAGTGGAATTGCTGGATAATGTGTTAGTTCTGTGTTTAATTTTTTGACCTCCTTACAATTTTCCATAGTGGCTGCAGCAATTTCCATTCTCATCAACAGTGTGTACACGGGTTCCCTTTTCTCCACATCCTTGCCAACACTTGTTATTTCTTGTCTTGTTGATGATAACCATTCTAACAGGTGTGAAGTGATGCCTCATTGTGGTTTTGATTTGCATTTCCCTGATGATTAGTGATGTTGAACATCTTTTCATGTATCTACCAGCCATCTGTATGTCTTCTTTGGAAAACTGTCCATTCAATTCCTTTGCCCATTTTTTAATCAGGATTTGTTTGTTTTGTTTTTTTTGCTATTGAGTTGTACAAGTTTTTTATTTATTTTGGATATTAACCCCTTATCAGATATATGATTTGGTAATATTTTCTCCCATTCAGTAACTGGCCTTTTCATATTGTTGATGGTTTCCTTTGCTGAGCAGAAGCTTTTTAGTTTGATGTGGTTTCACTTGTTACCTTTGTTTTTAGTGCAAAGTTTATTTGATATTTTGTTAGAAGAAGGAAAGAAGGGTGATATCTTTCCAATTTCCCCCCAAGTATATAAAATTTACTGACTGCTTTTTCATATTTTGGTGTTTTCTTTTTTAATTTCTGCAATAAAAATAGAAGGGAAATATTGAGAGGTAGAAAAGAGCTGAAAGAGAAGGTACATGTCCCTGATCCATACCCAGCTTTCTGAACTGAAATGTGTCCCCTGGTATCTTTGCTATTTTCTAATAAATTTTAGCAGACCATTATTGGTTTATAATTAATACTCGTGTTAGGATAACCAGACTAACATGGGCTTTTGGAAAATGATAGATCATATACATTTTAGTTGGGGAGAAGAAAAGAAAGCTGGATATACACTCTTAGTGACCCGGAGCAAGTGATGAGGGAGTGTGGTTTGCAGGTGTAAAATTTAAGACTCATCTATTATTCTTTTGGCCAAATTCAGTGGCTTTGGTAGGTGTCATTGTGTAAAACGATTGTCAGTAGCTTGGTCTTCTCTGTCACCTCTGAGTATGCATCTGCATGCATTTGTTCTCTTAGAGCCAGGCTTTCAGGGATGAATAAATTATGTGAACATCTGCCATTTACTTAGGTTTTTTTTTTTTTTTTAAACAGCTCTTCAGACATATTTAAACAGGTGCTGGGGTACCTCCTGAAAGAGCATAGAAAATGAAACAGCAGGACTGTGTTGTGTATAAGGTTGCCAGGATAGGTATGAGACATACTTCTAAAGAGCAATTGTTGAGAATTCATTCTCGCCTTTGTTCTTTATCTCATTATGAGTATGTGGTTGTGTCATTGGTAAACTTTAGTCTTATTGAGAAAAACTTAAAAACAATTAGTACCTTTGTGGCTCAATTTATATCCATATTTAATTGCGTAAATGGCATTCTTTGAATTAATAGCATTCATGTTTCACTTAAGAAAGCCCCACTTATTGTTTAGCAGTGCTTCAAACCAAAGGTTGTCAACCTTGGCCGCATATTAAAATTACTTAGAGAACTTTTAAAAATAAACCACTGTGCCCTGGCTGCACCCAGAACAACTGAATTCAAAAGTGTGGGAGGTAAGGCTCTTGGAATCCTTTTTCTTCTGTAATTGGTTAAAGCTCTCCAGGTGATTTTCATGTGTGCAATGATTGAGAATGGGTATATTTAATCACTGATTCTCAAATGACCCCTGGTGAAGGACTAATTTTTTTTGGCTTATTTCTAATCTGCTGTGAACTGATACTTAAAAAAAATAAATCAAAGTGAATTATTAGAAAAGTGTAATTCTTATTAGGTTCAACAGACATGCAAATTAGTATAAATGTTTCTAAATGAACCAATAACAATCAGCTTGCTGATGGCCACACTTGGAGTAGTACTGTTTTAACCATTGCTTTGCCTAATTGTTAGTTACCGATATCAAGAAGGCATGCAAGTCAACTTTAACCTTAAGATTTTCTCTTTCAGAGGCCCAAACTGTAGGAAATTATACACTTACATTCCTAATTACTGTAGTAAATTATTTTTACTCACCATTTTAATCATTCTGCAAAGTTCAGAAATGATGAATAGAAGCAATGGTCCTTTTGTAATTTTAGGGAACCAGAAATCATGAGAGATGCAAGCTGAGTTTAGAAAGGTGTGTCTAACTCTTTGTAAACTACCTATACCGATATCATTAATTTTACATACATTATGATCATAATAATCTGGATTTAAATATTTTATAATTTTCAAAATATTTTACTTTATAATTTTCTGTGTATTTTCATTTGAATTGTATAATTGATCTTCATAACAACCTTGTGTAGTGAGGAGGACAGAGATTATCATCACACTGTACAGATTGGAAAGGTGAGACGTTCAGCATACATGATGGATCCCATCTCTCCTATTTTAGTTTGAAAATAAAAATTGAAACGAGTTTCCTGACTCCATTCTAGTTCTGTCACTACACTGCAAGGTATTTCCAGATGTGTAGCAACTTTTAGCATTGTGCTGTAGTGCTCAAGTGACATGATGGCTTAAATTCTCTGTTTTAGACAACTTCTCTAACTTTTTAGAATAAATTTAAGGCATAGGCAGACATGATGCAGACTCTAAATATTTTTTTGGTGGGAAAAAACCTAAAGCATTCTCATATAGGAGATAAGTGAAAAAATAAAGAATAGGTAAAAATTTTTAATTTTCTCTGTTTTCTTCCCTTTTTTTTTTTTAAATGAAGAATTTATTTAATATGGTTGTTGAGATACCTCGGTGGACAAATGCTAAAATGGAGGTATGACTATATTCTCTTAATAGCAAATAGAAATTATAATAATATAAAAACTGTTTCAAGTTGTTTTTTCATAATATTGTGAATTTAAGATGAACAAACTTGTTTATATTGAAAACATCCTCGTGAACTTACTTTGACTCTGATTTCAAAAAGCAAAATATTCAAAGCTGAATTTATACTTTAAAGAGAGTATTTTCCATTTTTGCCTCTAGTTTGTTATACACATATTTAATTTTACTTGACTCCTCTGTCTTTGAAAATGAGAAACATTTTCAAGGTTTACTTAAATAGATTCTGAGATGTATTTTGCTCATAGACACAACTGAAACATATTTACTTGGGGCTTATGGCAATTTTAGTTTCTAAGGACTTAACTCTCCTTTAGGTTTTACTCTATCAGGGTTGAAAGCATTTTCCTGGCCAACTCTTGATTTATGAGCACTGTTTCAGAGCATCTGCTGTTCCCCTGGTTAGCTTTTTAAATTTTTAAAAAATCTTTTCCATGAGACATGAGCCTATCAAGAACTTCCCGTTTGCTTTTCAGTTTTATGGTTCCATCTGCAGTTAGGTGAGACCCCATAGAGTTCTGAGTGGAACTTAATTGATGGCACTTTGTTTAGTTATTTCAGCCTCTTACAACTTTTGATGTGGAGGCGAGTATTGTTGCAAGTATTTCAATTAAGGATTTTTATGTAGGTGTATATTTTTCAGAATTTCTATTTGGAGAATTGTCAGTAATTTCACCAGGCCATTGTAGTATTTTTTTTGGGGGGGGGAAATTGGGGGATGGGAACAGCACTGGGGAATTGGGAGAAGGGGAACAGACAAGTTGCTGTCCTTTTTGTTCTTCAGTCCAGTTGTGGAGGACGTTGCTTCACTGGCCCAAGTTGGCACCATCATTGCGCTCTTCCCAGGCAAGGCAGATCAGTCGCCGGCTTCTGGACAGCCGCTCACAGAGGCTACTGGTCGCTCGCGCTGGCTGCTGGCTACACACAGTAGCCCATGGCAACCCACTGCAGCAGGGGCTGCAGCCTATGCCGTCGCCGGAGACTCATGGCAGCCCAGCTCCAGGTTGAGCTGTCATTCAGCATCTTAGCTGTAGAGGGCAGTATCACTGGCCCTCATATGTGGGATCCGAACCGGGGCCCTCTGGCGTCCCAAACCAGTTCTTAACCAACGCGCCACTCGGCTGGCCCGGTTTATTTTTTAATAGGAAAATGTAAAGATAATTAGGTTCTTCTTTAGGTCTTACTTCATATAATAATATAATCTTGCTTCATCATTCCGGATACTCTATCTCAGTTAGGTATAAGGCAAAGACTCTCTGAGATTCTACCTAAGCTAAACAGCATTTGTTCATTCAAACATGGCTTCAGTTATTTTTTTGTTTACTTTATAAGATTGTTTTTTTTTTTTTCCTTTTTTCATGACAATTTGTACGTGCTTGATAGAAAGGTAACTTGGAAATGAAATCACTTAGTGAAAATCATTACGCTATCTTTGTTATCATAAGATTGATGGTAAAAAGCCCAAGATTATTAACAAAAAGCAAGATGATTAATCTTTATCTTCTTGCCATTTCAATCATTTTATTATTTGTGTTAGAAATAATGACTGGATAAATAATAGAGTGCCTAACTATGTGATCTGATGTTTTCTTTCCAGACAGTTTTTCTTACATAGTACTCTAAATTATAAATAAGAGCTGGCTTCATTTATTTTAAAGTATCTTTGATCAGTAAGTTGGAATACGAATATTTAGTCTGATAATAGCAGATCTTAAAAATACTATTTGAAGATAGGATTATTCATTTCTCATCCCGCTGTCCCCTTTTTTTTCTCATGATCTGCTTAGATTGCCACACAGGAGCCATTGAATCCCATTAAACCAGACATAAAGGATGGCAAGCTACGCTGTGTGGCGAATATCTTTCCTCACAAGGGTTATATATGGAATTACGGTGCCCTCCCTCAGGTAACATTTTTGTTATAATGGTAAAACTTTGCTGTCTTCTGAAAAAATTGCCTTGTAAATCCTGGGAACTACTTGAATTTAAATTGGTTCTTAGGACATGTCAGTTTGAGAGATTTGTAAATTTAAAATTTTTTAATGTGGAGTTTTATTCTATCAATAAATTTTTTTTCAAACTGTATTTATGTCTGTACTCAAGCTCTTGGAGTTAGGCATATAGAACACTCACATTTGGCATTTTGAACACATTTCTTTTTCTAGGCTTGGCTGTTAAGAATCAGTGAAAAATGTTTTATCTGCTTTATTTTCAGTCATTTCTTTGAATACGACAAGTAATGCTTTTAGATACATTCATATATGATAGCATGAATTTTAGTTTTTAAACTTTAACAGATGAATCTTAAATTTTTAACTTTTTTTCAGAACTCATTGTGATTCAGTTAGGGGACTTAATTATTCACTATTATGAAATTTATAATTTTTCAGTGGAAAGCAGTGAAAGCAAGAGCTAAATATGACAAAGCAGCATCTATTAGAGAATGTATTAGGGAATGACACTATTTGTTCTTCCTATTTTCTTATCCCTTTTTGTTTTCTCATGTTTCTTACTCCTGGGAAGTGATAACTACTTCCAGATTATTTAGTGAGTAAAATTGAGAATATGCAGAATGAGAAGTCTAAGTTTTGGGGGCATAGAGAAGCATCTGCCTTTATGTTTATAAACGCCATCAGACCATTCCTATATCTGGATATTCCATTTTTGTATATGTATTTTATTTGTTATTTTATTTTTTTAAAGATTTTTATTGGGGAATTGGGGGGATGGGAACAGTGCTGGGGAGTTGGGGGAAGGGGAACAGACAAGTTGCTGTACTTTCGCTCCTCTGTCCAATTGTGGAGGACGTTGCTTCACTGGCCCAAGTTGGCACCATCATTGCACTCCTCCTGGGCGAGGCAGATCGGTAGCTGGCTTCTGCACAGCCGCTCACTGCGGCTGCTAGCCGCTCATGCTGGCTGCTAGCCGCTCATGCTGGCTGCTGGCTGCTGGCTACACATGGTAGCCCATGGCAACCCACTGCCACAGGGGCTGCAGCCTACGCCGTTGCCAGCGACTCACAGCAGCTCAGCTCCAGGTTGAGCTGTTGTTCAGCATCTTAGCTGTAGAGGGCAGTGTACTGGCCCTCATATGTGGGATCCGAACCGGGGCCCTCTGGCGTCCCAAACCAGTTCTTAACCATTGCACCACTCGGCCGGCCCTTATTTGTTAATTTTAACATTTTACATGAAATTCTAAAATGCTTTTGGGGAAATATCTGAGGAAAGGGGTCTTGCTTTATCCAACTCAGAAAAACAGCTGCCCATGTAGAATAAACATTCACAGGAAAAGAAAATTGTTCTCTGAAATGTCAGGCTGCCTTTGATGCAGTTAGGCCACCCACATGGATACATTCTTCAAAACAGGCACTTTTAAAATGATTGTGCTAAGAAAGAGAATGTCTGTTGAAACCATGGAGGCAGGTTTTCTGCTCCTCAGGTGCCTAAGTAGACATTCTGCTTGGCCTAGCAGGGAAAGGGTTAAAAAACATTTGTTAAGTGAAGGGGATACTGTCTGTAGGGCAAGACATATGGATGAGGGGAAGGCCAAAGAAACCATTGCATTAGAGAAAGCCAGGCAAACACAGAGACATCTAGAGTAGGCAGAGGATAAACTAAAGTTCATGTATTCATTAAATGTTTGTTAAAGATTTATGTGCTGGGTGTTTGAAGAAAAATAAGATATAAGTGTAAGATCCAAGCAGCATAATAAGTGACTAGGAATGTGGGTTTTGGAACCAGATTGCCACTTTCTAGTAACATAACTATGAACAAGTTAGTTTGTCTTTGCCTTACTATCTTCATCTGTAAAATAGAGATGATAAAGTACCTACCACATATGGTTGTGTTGAGGTTGAAGGAATTATTGCACATTCATCTTAGAATAGCGACTAATAGTGATCACATTTTTGTTACTACTGCTACTTTTTTTATTATACAGTCTTTTCTCCAAAGAGATTTATAGTCTCATGGGGTGATCGACAACTAAACCAGTGTTTATAGTGGAGCATAATATGTGCTTCTAACTCATCTACTAGTTCTAAGCTTTTGTGGTTTATCTATTTACAATCCTGATGAATTTTTGTACTTCTCTGGATGTGTTTGACGTTTCCAGGTGCTCTTACCTGCTGTGACATTAGTCTGTTAGGTACAGTAGTTCCTGTTTAATTACAACAGTATTAAACTGCAGCAGTCTGTTAACTCGCCCTGTATCACTGCTGCCTACCAAAATCTCACACTCCACCCAGCATCCAAAATAATATTTTAAAAACATAAATCTGCTAATGTTTTGCTTATGTGAGACCCTTTTAATGGTTTCCTATTGTTAAAAGAATGAATATAACATTCTTTTTTTTTTTTTTTTTTTTTTAGCTGAGCCATCCTGCCACCTGTTGGCAGCTCAGCTCGGGCCAGGACTCGAAATACTGTTGCTCAGAGCTAGCTCTTAACCACTGAGCCACTCAGCTGGCCCTAAATATAACATTCTTAATGTGGCCTTTCAACCCTGCGTCATCTGGCCTCTGCTAAGTTCAGCTTCATTTTGCAACATTTGTCCTTCCTCACTTCATTCCACCACTGTGACTTCTTCAGTGTTTCTAATTTTCCCTTGTCATTTCCACACCAGGCCTTCACAGAGCTGTTCATTCATTCATTCATTCAGTACATATTTTTTGAGTGTATGATGTTTGCCAGACAGTATTTTAAGTACTGGAGGTGAAGTAGTGATAAAAGTGACAAAAATTCTCTGAGACTTTTATCCTGGGCAGAGACAGACAAAAAAATAATAAAATGTATAATACATTAGTTGGTGGTGTGTTAGAGAAAAATAAAGCAGGAAATGGGGCTAGGGTATGTTGGGATTGTTGCAATTTAGACAGAGAGAAGGCCTCAGTGAGAAGGTGTTACTTGAGTGAAGACCTAAAAGAAGTGAGGGAACAAGTAGTATGGATGTCTACAGGATTTCAACAAGAAACAGCAAGGGTAAAGGTCCCAGGTGGTTGAAGGCCTAGTGTGGGTGTGAGAGGGACAGAAAGGAGGCCAGTGTGGTTAGAATGGGAACGAGGAAGAAGAAGTACGCCTGTATTCTCTCGGCCTTTTTTTATATTGATACTTTGATTTTATTTTACTTTATTTGTTATTGAGGTAACATTGTTTAATAACATATAAGTTTCAGGTGTACAAAATTATAATTTAGTATCTATATACACTATAGCATGCTCTTCACTAAAAGTCTGGTTCCATCTGTTACCATACGTTTGATCCCCTTTACCCATTTCACCCTCCCTCCACCCCCTCTTCCCCTCTGGTAACTACAAGGAGGCATCACCTCACACCTGTCAGAAGGACTATTATCCAAATGATGAGAAATAAATGCTGGAGAGGGTGTGGAGAAAAGAGAACTCTCGTACACTGTTAATGGGAATGTAAATTGGTGCAGCCACTATGGAAAACAGTATGGAGGTTCCTCAAAAAATTAAGACTAGAATTGCCATATGATACACACATTCCTCTTCTGAGTATTTATTCCAAGAATGTGAAAACACTTAATTTGAAAAGATATATGCACCCCTATGTTCATTGCAGCATTATTTATAGTAGCCAAGATATAGAAGCAACCTGTGTCCATTGATGGATAAATGGATAAAGAGGTAGTGTGTGTGTACATATATACACTGGGGTGCCAAAAAATGTACACGTTTTAAGAGATGTTATCTATGTATTACTTTTCGAAGTTAATTACATAGCAATGTGTAGCATAACGTTTGCTCAGAAGATGGTGTTAATCAAATGAATTCTAGCATCACTCATTGTATTACAATTTTAATACAGTTTTTTCCTTTCTTAAAATGTGTATATATTTTTTTGGCATCCTCTGTGTGTATACACACACACACAAACACATACATAGACACACACACACACACACACACACACACAGTAGAATATTGCTCAGTCATAAAAAATGAAATATTGCCATTTGTGACAAATCTTGATGGTATTATGCTAAGTGAAATACCTCAGACAGAAAAGGTCAAAAACTGATTTCATTTCATGTGGTACATAATATAAAAAAGAAATAAATGACCAAACCAAACCAAACAAAAACAAATTCTCTTCTGTTTTTAGAGATCTTTACTATCTTTTTAAACTCAAACTAATCTTGTAGTGTGTGTGTGAATGTGTGTGTTAGTCTTCAGCAAATGAATACAGTACAGAATGCATAGAAGTTATTTACCAAAAGCAAACAACCAAAAAAACACCTAATTGATTAATATTAATAAAAAGTTGAAATTAGGCCAATTGTTTATGGGAAAGGATAACTTGTTTCACTGTTGCTGTTAAGACTGAATGAGCTGTTAAAGTGAAAGCAAGCTCCTGGTCCCGTTTCCATTTCGATCTCGTCTCCAGCTTCCCCTCGCCCTCCCTCCCACAGTGGCCGCCTCACAGTTCCTCTGGTACTCCAGGCGCGCGCCTGCCTCAGGCCTGCACGCTCACTGTGCCCTCCAGGGTGGAACACTCCCAGCTATGCCCATGGCGTCCTCCATACATGTTTGCACAGGAGTCACTTTCAAGATGTCTGCTCGCAACCTCATTTATAGTTTTAAGGATTGCCTGCTATAGTCTCATTCTGCCTTCCATACTTTACTTTTTTCCCTTTTCCAACTTCTAACGTTTATTTATTTATTTTTATTGTTAATTTCTTCCAGCTAGAATGCAGACCTCGCGAGGGCAGGGATTCTGTCTGTTTTGTTCACTGATGTGTTTCAGCTCCCCTACTTGTGCCTGGCACAGAGTAGGTGATCAATCAATATTTGTAGAATGAATAAATTGTTGCTTCATAGGTATATGTATGTTGCATTTGTTTCATAGGTTTATGTGGGTATTGGATTTTTCTGTTCTCTTAGAATTTGTCTTGTAACAGCAGGAAATTTCTTCAAAGCAGTTACCAAGCCAACCGTGCTTGGAAGAACATTTCAGCAGCGCAATAGTTTAAGTAGCAGTCTCTCCACTTAGCTTGTGATCAATCGGTGTGCCGTCATTATCTCAGACCTTCAGCTGTCTGTTTAACCTTCTTAACTTTTTTTGCACTAGCAGTAATGCCTTCCTCAGAATTTGAGTTTGGCCTGGGCAAAAATCATCTTTGTTTGTCTTTCCCCAGTCTTTCTGAGTGAATATTTAGAAGACCACATGGATAATGTTAAAGGACTCGAATCACTAAAATCAGGATTTCTTCAGTCTTAATCTAATATTGTTGTATTTATTATTTTGAACTTTCCTACAAATTGGGTTCATTGACCCAGGTATCGTTTTGTACCACTTAGTAGTTTTAGAACCTGGGACAGCGACTAAATTTCACTAGGCCCTTTTGTTTATCTGTGTCATCATACCACCTACCCTGCGTGGTTATTGTGAATATTGAATGAGATGATGAAAGCGAAGTGTTTAGCCTCATAGTGAGTTCTCAGTCGTATTATCTCAATGATGGTGACACTGTTGCTGCTGCTATTTGCTGCTAATAGTGGAACAACTGGTAGAGGCTTTTGCTCTAAATTGAAGCTGGTGAAATACAGGTAGTGGCTGAGGAGACCTTACGTCCTTTGACTGGGTGACAGGATCCTGATTAATCATGAAGTAATTCTCAAGGAGCACCTATGTACAGCTCTGTACAGGTCAGTGGTTTTTCAGAGACCTAAGGACCAGAGCACAATGATTAAAAACATATTGGTTACTCTTTATAGATTGTAAGGGAATGATGTCACATGCCTGCACAAGAAGGAATAAGATTGGTTTTAGGCTTGATCAATAATGTCTGTGATCTGATCTATTTATTTTTATAGCTTTATAGCCATTCTTTGTACAAGTTTAACATTATTTATATTCCTGTTGATAGGTTATGTTTAATTTTTTTTATGCTTGTCTTGTGTCTTTTCTAAAATTTTTCTATATACATGATATATATAGGTATATACTTCTAAGTCTATACCTGTCAATCAGATGGCTAAATTGTGAGTTACACACCTATTTTACTTTACTAGATATTCCTAAATTGTTTACAAAATAAGTTGTAACAGTATATACTCCTACCTGCTTTAGGATTGAGGAACCTCTCAGATATTTTCTGCTTCTGCTTCTAGGTTTTCTGATTCCAGGTGTACGTCAGCCCCATCCCAGCACAGTAAAATTAATTTTATAGCATTAGTGACAAATGCAATACCATTTTTAACATGATACTCTTCAGGGTATTAACTGTGTTATATGTATCTCTGTCCCTAACTCCTGGCCCGAAGTAAGGTACTCAGTAAATATTTCCTGTATGAATGGATGCCTGCTGATAGGTAATAGAAAACAGGAAGCATTGAGGAGAACAGTAGGAAAGAAGGGAACGTCCACAGGAAAATATACTCAGGAGATTCTGAGAGCAAGAGAAGGTATTTAAAAGAAAAGACCATGAAATAGAATAAGGTTATATCTGAGAATAATTGCCATTCAACTGCTATTGTTATCAAAATTGGGGCGTCATAACATAATGTTGAATAGTATGAATTCTAATCCTGCTGCCACCATTTGGAAACTGGGCAAATTTAAACTCCGTGTGCTTCAGTTTACTCATTTGTAAATTGGGGTTAATAATGGTACATTCCTCATGGGGTATATGTGTGTATGTATGTATGAGTGTGAGTGTGTGTGTGTATCAAAAAGTGTCACTCGCCTACAACCAGTATGTAAGGTTAACAATTATGTTTATTCTTCTTATATTTTGTTAGTAATATTAAGTGTTTAGGGTAGTGAAATGTTGGATTTGGTTTACTAATTTTTTTAATTGTTAAGAGTGAGTCAATTTATTCCTAAATATATTATAATTAGGACTAGAAGGAAAATATTGAAGTTTAGGGTTTACCTGTAAATAAGAGTCTATTTTTAATTCTTTATATAAATTTAGAGGAACCAAGCTTAGATAATCTGGAATTCTATATAACAGTTTTGGGATGGCACGTCTCTGCACACTTTATAATGTAAATCTGAGGGAAATAGTTTTAGTGAATTTCTACAGTTCCATTTAGAATCAGGTAATTATGAGACTTTTGGGGAAGGATAATGCCTAGGAGATATTTAAACTGAATAACAAATTTCTGTTACGCTACTTACTCATTTATAAACGTGCCCATGGGTATATTTTGTAGCCAACAGAGTATATAATCTTTTCAGTAAACTTAAAGAGTTGACATCCTTTCCTGTTTTTGTCAAGGTCTTGAGATTAGATGGCAAAGGTGGAGGGTTTTTTAAATGAAATGAAGTGAGACAAAAATAGAGTTTTTATTTTCTGTGGTAGACGCTGTCTTGTTCTTTAGTTTATGAAGGGAAAACTGGGTTTCTTCTAGTAGAAGTCCTGTAAACAACAGGAATTTTATTTTCAAACATGGAAAACCAGACCCCGTGCTGTTTGTTACCTTGTCAAAGGAAGCAATGAATGATGGAAGCAGCAGTTTAGGCATAGACAATGGGAACATCTGAACTGAAACTCTAAAAGTGAACATGAATTTAGGCACTGACTAAACTTGGAATAAGAGTAAGGAAGAAGAGTGTGGTTTAGAAATATCACCCATTTTCAGATGCGATTATACAGACAAATGAGAGACCGAAGGAGGAAATACTACAAATGTTGTAATTATTCTGATGCTTAAGGATGTACTGTCATGTTGACATTGAGCCTGTATAATTTCTGAGAATTTTCCTTTGGATTATGGCTATCTATAAAACTTCATGATCACGTGAAAAGATTAAGATAAGTGAGTATTAACCTATATTTCTTCCCCCTCCCCCCTTTTTTAGACTTGGGAAGATCCCCATCGAAAAGATGAGAGCACAGACTGCTGTGGAGATGATGATCCTATTGATGTCTGTGAAATAGGCTCTAAGGTTGGTTTTATAGGCTGTGTTATTCTAATGCGTTCTAGTTTATTCATGCCATACAATTTCAGTGCTCTTTGGAAGGCATAAGTTCTTTAACTCTTCAAAGTTCTAGCCTGTTGATCCCTCTGATTTCAGTCCCTTTGAGTAGTTTTGCTTTTTTCCCTTAAGCTAGGGATTGGTAAACTGCAGCCCATGGTGGGTCACATCTAGCTCACCACCTGTTTTTATCAGTATGCCATTCATTTATGTATTGTCTATGGCTGCTTTTGTACTATGGCAAAGCTGAGGCCTGGCAGCAGAGACCATACAGTCTGCAGTCTCAAGTATTTACTGGCTGACCTGTTACAGAAAAGTTCTGCTAAGTCCTATCTTCAGCTTCCTTTGCCTGTTACCCAGACAATAAACTCAAGACTGATGAAACCCATTGGATACTCTTTTTTTGGGGTGCCGGCCTCCAGGTTACCAAGTCCTACTAGGGAAAAGCAAAACTTTTCATAGGTCGCTGCTACCCATAGAAATCAATGTCTCTGGTCAGCTCTCTGTTTCCTACTTCATCTATTGCTAATATTTGGTGTTCTCTACTTTCAGCTCCTTTCGGTTTGTTCTCACTCCCAGCAGAATGCCTTGTCTTTAATTTTGTCTAGCTCAGAGAACCCAGCAGATGAGAATGCCTCACTTTTTCCCCTTAGACAACCAAACCACCTGTGCCTGTTTTGCTCCCCTTCCTTTTGTTACTAGGACGGTAGTCTTTTTTGTCCAAAACCAGTACCTCCACCTGTGCCTTCCTGTCCCTTCCTGCCTCTGAGTGACAGTATTTTCCTATCCCTTTTCTATCTTATATTTATAACTTCTTTTTCTTTATTGGTTTTGAAGTCTGCAAGTCCTCTTCACATGCAGACTTGTAAAAACTTTTCAACACTCATCTCCATCTCCTACTTCCCATTTAATCTTCAGCCTGTTTCAAAATTGTTTCCATCCAGCCGTTATTTCAATGACAGTGTTCTCACTAAGGTCCCTGGTAACTTTTTTTTAAAGCCAGATCCAGCAGGCCTGTTTCATAGGTCTTGTCTAACTTGCATTTGCATTAATTATTTTATACTATTTACCCTGTCTTCCTTCTTGAGACAGTGTCTTCACTCGACTTGGATTGTATTGTAATGTCCTGGGTATTCTCTAATTCTGGTTCCTTCTTGGTTTGTTCTGCCTGCTCCTTAAGGATTGATTAGCTTGAGGGTTGTGCCCTTGTCCTACTCCTTCTCCTCATGTGGAAACTCCCTTGGTGACCCAGTCCTAAGCATTCCTAGTTTTGCTCTCTATATCTCTAGCTCAGACCTATACTCAGCTGCCTATTGCTGCACTTGTGTGTCTCCCGGGCACCTCAGACTCATCGTGTCCAAAGCTGAGTTCATTCTCTCCTCCTCCCCTGTCTATTCCCTCAGTCTCAGTGAAGAACATTTTCCTCCCTCCCTGTCCCTGATTCTTAAGCCCAGCACTCAGGGGCCATCGTTGATCATCCTTTGCTTTTCTTCATCCAATTAATCATGAAATAGTGACTCTATATTCTACATAGCCTTTAAATCTTGTTTCTTTCCATTCTCACTGCAGCTAGCTTTGTCTAGTCCTCTAATTTTATCTCACTTGAATCATTCCTGCTACTGACCAGTTTCCTTGCTGAATCTTATTTCCCTACCATCATTTATTCCAGACTCTTGCCTGCTTTACTCTGTTGTAGCACCTGCCCCCTGCCTCTTTCCCTGGCTTCCTCTCCTGGCACTCCTCGTGTGCACACTACCCTCCAGCTGCACCGATCTTTCAGTTCCTGTAATGCATCTGCTGTCCCTCGTGTCCGGGCCCCCACACCAGCTATTCCCTCTGTGTAGAATGGAACCTTCTTCCTTCTTCACTTGGTGTTACTTCCCCCTGCTTTTCTCTTCACCTCCCCGCTGCTCACCCTTCAGGTCTCGGCTAAAATATCACTTCCTCTCCGAAGTCTTCCTTTATCCCTCCCCCCCACCCACCCCGCAAGATACTAGCTGTTTGTAATGTGCCTCCTTAGTAGTAGCTGTGGTCTGCTTGTTTCATTGCCTCCTCCAGGAGATGGAAGTTACCTCTGTGACGATAGGACTCACCATTGGTAGTTTTTAACTTAGTGCCTGGCACACAGGATATGCTTAATTTAAGAAATGCCAGACTGAATTATTACTTGAGTTATGTTCTTCTAGTTAAGATTAAATCACTTATCTCTGGCAACTCATAATAGAAATTGTAGGCTTCTAGATTATTTTTTAGCAAATAGTTTCCTCTGATTCTTTGTCACTTTGTTTATTTACCATAATATTTTGCTACTCTCTTTTCTTTCTCCTCTTCTTCCTCATTCTCCTTTCTTATTCCTCCTCCTCTTTTTTTTCATCCTCTTCTTCATAATCCTCTTTGACTTTCTCTTCCTTCTTTTGCTTTGTCTCCTTCTGCTCTCTGCTACTTTTTTTCTTTCTTCTATTCTCCCCATCTTCTCCCCCGCTCCCTTCTTCTTTTCCTTCTCCCTCCCTCTTCCTCCTTCCCTGCAGGGGAGCGTCTCCATCCAACTAATATTTCTGGTTTTACACACAGATAGAGACAAACCGCCTAGAGTGTGTGTGTGTGACTCTAATTCCTGTATCTCTCTAGCAGAAATATGGCCTAATTGTTAGCTTTCTTTTAAATTTAAGCTGTAGTGTAGAAATTGACCTTTTGGACATTTTCTCCCCAGAGGGGCAGTAAAATGTGTCTAACGTGAATAGATAAGAAGGAAGGAAGAATATACGTATTTTAATGAGGAACTCCTAAGTTCCAGACACTATCTTAGGTACTTTAGTCACTTTTACATGTCTTATTTCATAAGTAAAAGTCACTAAGTTAAGTAACATTACATTGATGGACAGATTTATATATTAGAAAACTCTTATTCTGAGGGTGTAATCCCTGGGAACATTCAGTTCATATTAAGTGTAAATTATTGGGTTGTCAGAATAAGTCATGACATATTTTTTCTATGTTTTTCGTTGCAAAAATGCGTCATGATTTTCCGACAACCCAATATTATGTTAATATAAATCCTCACACAGATATTAAGTGTGAATAAAAAGATTAAAAAACAGTATGTTATTTTCACTTAAAATTTTTAAATTTTACTTAAAAATTTGTCAGTGAGCATGCAATTAATGAGATTGGTAACTGGAAGAAATCATATGAAAATGTATGTACCCGATAAATTGATTTGACTTAGTATGACGCTGACTTGTTATTGACAAAACAATCACTCTAAGAAAACTTGATACAGAGGTTTTTAAATAAACCTGTTAAAGTTACTAAATATGCAGAATAAAATTAAAAGGTTTCAAATATAAGTGATTTTATTTATACAATTAATATGTATTTATTCATCATATGATCATTGTTATGTAATAATTATAATTAATCTTGAAAGCACACTTTTACATTTACATAGAAAGTTTGGTACATAGCAGGTATTTGGTACATTATTGAAAAACATATTGACTATTGTCATTTTTTATGGAAATGTAGTATTAATTATAAATGTTCAAATGAATATACTTCCAGTTTAATGTT